TGTTGAGGACCCCATCGAGAAGTTCCCGAACGATAAAATCAAGCACATCATGAGCTTGGTTGCATCACAAAAAGAATCGTACCAACGCTGCCATTGGTCCCTACAAGCTTTGAGGGGGAGAAAAAGAAGATGTGGAAGAAAGATGGCGATCCTTGTCGTTACGTGCTCAGGTTCGTCCATGGCTCCACCTCCATCATAATCACTTACACCCTTTCCGAACGGAATCGATCGAGTAATGATGTTTGGTAATTTTGAAAAAAAAAATTAATGGTAATTTTTGAACGAAGGATTAATAGGAGCAGATTTAAGATTATTGTGAAAATTGGTGATTTCATTAGACATAAAAAAAGTTCACGATAGAATTGAGATTGAATCTGTTATAATTTACAGTTGTATTATGACTTTCATTTGATCATTTATATATTCAAGCACAAGTCATCCATGTATCTTTTAAATTTGATCAATGTTGTTTCTGTAATTTTTTTTCTTTGCCAGTGAATCCCTAAGCTGACTACTTTTATTTGAATTGGGTACCTAGTTGAAAAAGTTAGCTCGTTAAGTTATGCCAATGTGACTTTTAAGAACTCTAAAGAGAACATAAAAAAATAAATATTAATGAAAATATAAAAAAGAAGAAAATTAAAATAAAGAAAATAGACACGGGTTTTAAACCGCTTGCGGGGGGGTCACGACCCTCGCAGATTGCAATCACTGACCCTAACAATTGTTCTTCACGGGTTGCAAAACCCAATTGAGATTCTGTTTCACATTATATCGTGCATTACTAACAAGATTTGAAATTGGGTTCTGCAACCTGGGCGACCGGTGGGTTAGGGTCGCATGACCTTGGTAAGAATTTATAAATATTATGGTTTAATCTAAACAAAAATAAAATCAGTATCACTGCTAGTTATCCGATCATCTTTGATGCGATGCCAATATTGACAGTCTAGCTCAGCATCTCCATTTTACTATTTAGTAGAAGGTCTAACATGAGAAAATAAGAATACACTTTTGGAACTACATTAGCAAAAACAAAAAAGTATTGAGACGATATTGAACAAAATGCGAAAAGTACAAGAAGAAGACGATGGTGCACCCTTATCCCTACTATTTTTCGGATATACGCAACAAGGAAAAGAGATGTTATAAGCAAAACTAGCCTCCTACTGTAATAGGACACTATAATAGAAGTCAAGCCCGCATACGATAACTTCTTATAACTCAGGCCGACTAACATCCATATGGAGATTGTGGGCCGACCACTGGACATTTAGGTGAGACCTCAAAAAGCCCTGATGCATGCTCTTTAGTCTTTACTCCTCATCCTCTGGGAATGATTTGATCATGAATTCATGATCAATATTGCGTGGATTGAAGATTGCAGATCATGATTGAAACATGCCGTTCGAAAGCTCGTGACTTCTAGCTTCTCAATCTGTGCGTGAATTTCGCTTTCGACATTGCAGTTTCTCTCACGGAGTTGGACCGACGCTTGAAGGCCTACATGGTCGGCCCGTTGGGAATCCGAGGGCAGTTGGGGTTAGGTAGTGCTTAATTATGATAAACCTGTTTATGATTTAGGGCATTCAAATCTGAGCAAATGAGATTATGGAACGATCATCGGCTAAACCTCAGGTTTATACTATTTATCAACCGTTGCAATATGAATGATTTAAAACCTTACCGAACACCAAGGGTCCACAGGTTTGTACAATTAATCAACCGCCGCATTATGAATGGTTATGTCTTTATGTATATTTTCTCGGGAACAATAACCAAGTCGATCCTTGTTTTAGACAAAAGACTAGAATACAATTATCTTTTAGGTGTTCTTGGAGCACATTATGTTCATCGCCCATCTACACATTCATGGAGTACGAGTTCATGTATTCCCAATTTACTCCAAATAAAAAGACTTCGGTGACACATTAAGCGTGAATGGTTGTGTAAAAGTTAACTCGGTGTTACAATCCGTTAAAATTTCTTCGAGAGCAAACTTAATTAGGGTGATGTCTGTTGAGATGTACGCGTGGCCTGTGCTGGAAAAAAGTCTCACATTGGAGAATTGGTGTGGTATGAAGCAATTAATATATCATAATTGGCTCATAACTTACCGGCTTAAGCTTTTGATTGAAGGTGGTGATAATAAGCTTAAATTGGGCTCCCTTTTGACGATCTACATAGGCAAATGTATTGGACTTTTGCTGCGCAGTTTCAACAAATGGTATAAGAGTCGATAGTTGATTGGTGAAATGTCCCAAGGATGGGTAGCCTTGGGCGTTGTGGTGTAGCGGCACGATCCCGAGCTCACATGCAAGGATAGATTGTTGAGATTTACATGTGAGTTGCATTAAAAAGTTCACTTCCTATTAATAAATATCATAATCAGCCGATAACTCGTTCGTTTAAGTTATTGAGTGAACGTGGGTCTAATTGAATGGCTCGAACTTTGACTTTCTTTTAGCGATATTTTTGCCGCGTGCTCCCAATAGTTTCTCTACAATTGCGATGTAATAAGTGTTGAAAATAAGCATAGCTAGAGTTATTACACACAAGAATATTGTGTTTGGCTGTTTCCGTTTTAACTTTTGATTTTGTGTTTAACCTTGTGTTTGGAATCAAATGTTTAATTATTGTTGAACACCTCAAATCATAAGAGAGATATATAAGCATTCCCCAGAAATTTTGATAAATTTTCAATCATGTTATTCTCATACAGTTAATATCACAAAAAACCCTAAGTTATGCTTACCGTGACACAAATATCTTGAACTTTTTGTGTCATTAAAAATCCTAAACTTGCATATTGTGACGCCATAAAAAATTCCGAACTTATACTAGTCTGACAATTATACCCTAGTTGAAACTGAAATAGAAAGTATATATATATCAAATAGGTATAAGTTTGGATTTTTTCGCAATATCAAAAGAAGTTTAGAGTATTTGTATCATAATGGACATAATTTAATATAGAGATACATTCGAAAGGACGTTTTGATTTGGCTTTCTAGCACTTTAACGTTATGTGTTTAGTCCCCTGCTACTAGGTGACTATCCTAAGGGTTTGTTTGAACTAAAACAAGACTCTCAGCAGTAAGTACTGAAATAAAATTAAAAAAGAAGAAGAAGCAGATCCAGGACCATCCTACTCAAAGAACATAAATTCTGGTGTTGCCCTCAAGAAAGAAAAGAAAGAAAGAAGGGGTTTTCGAATTATCTAATTTTGATTAATCTCTAATTATTTAATAAGCATTTGACTAATCTGACACGACCTTTCGCACACTTCCAGTGGGGGCCCGCCCATGTGTAAGTGGTGGTTACCCGCTTCCCATGTTCAAATTTTAAGCTCAACACATCCCTTTAGTGCCTCCAGATAAAACCTCAATTCCTTCGATTATTACTTACTAGTTTATTACTACTAGGCCTCGTTTTGGTCGTACCCTGGATCAGATTTCTTGAGGAATGGAATTTGAATCCTGAGATCATTTCGTTCGCATGAAGTTTCAAACATGGAATGTGATTAATCTTGAAATTTGATTCATTAAACAATGTGGAATTGGATTACCTACTTGTAATTAGTATTGGGATTCCAGCGGGGGTGTTGCTGTCGTCGAAGCTCAATTTGTATCTCTGTGTGTGCGCACGCGCACGCCCGTGTATTGCGTTTGAAGATTGATAAAGACTTGGGAAGTTAAACTCGGAAAGAAGCAAGCCGAGTCTGGACGCGGTGGCTATGAAGGCCGATGGCCGGGTGCCAACATGATGTGGTCACACGATGGGTCTCTCTCCCTCTCGCTCTTAAAATCGAGCGATTCTATACAGTCGAGCCCCAGTATTGCAGCGGGATCGTCAGCCTCACGCGACCACATATCTAGGGTTGCGCGAGGTGAGCGACCTCCATGGGCGTGATTTGTGAGCTCCACAAAAGGGAGAGTGACGGAGGCGTAGTTGATGACTTGAGTAGGCAAGTGGTTGAAGTCGCCATTGGATATATGGAGGCGCGATGGCGAAGGCTCAAGATAGTGACTGACGGGTGGCTACACAGCGACGAATCAACAAAGGGTCCGATCGTTAGGAAAAAAAAAAAACCGGAAAGGAATAAAGAAAAAGAGCTAAGAAAATGCAAAATTCAAAAGGGTGACCACATCTTAACCATTGAATGTTCAATGGCCTAGATGTACATTATCGAAAGACCTTAGATATTGTCATCCGCGTAATAGAAACATAGTCTAATTCTATGCAATGAGATTACCTAAAACGGGAAACTCACTTATCGATTCCTCGGCAACACGGAACCAAACGAGGCCTTTAATAAAAATCACAAATTGGGAATCCACCTATGAATTCCATCAATCAGAACATACTCAATCATTTCAATTTTTGGCAACGATCTAGATAAAAAAATTCATGACTCGATCAGCATTTGGCATTCACACATGGTTACATGCGTGTAAACGACTCAATGGCCGATGAGTAGGACAACTGAAATGCTTTGAACCACCATCGCAAGACCATCGCATTTCGCATCACCATTGCTCGAATAGCCATTTGAAGTCGAAAAATCCAAGTCATGATCTTGATAGCTAAGAGCGTTGCACCTAGTCAAATTGGCCTCATCACATCACCATTATTGGCAAGATTCCACAGCATATCCACATGGGTCGTGCCCTTTTGGCTTCTTATTATAATTCAACCACGCCAATTTGGAGAAAAATCTCAGTGACCTTATGCAGTGCTGATCTTTTCATCACAGAGATTCTATCCTAGCAAAGCATTGCCAGCATTGGCAGGGCCTACATGGAAACCCCTTTCTAGTGTACTTCCGAAGCGCACCCGAAGCTGCACTAACGTGGATGCTACGTTCATTGTCTCTCTCTCTCTCTCTGTCTCTCTCTCTGTCTCGCGATTTGGACCACGTTTAGGTTCTAACGTTCTTCAAACTCGTCCCTTAATAAGCAACACGACCAAACGAATGAGACGCAGGGCGGCCATCGGAAGAAGCCACCATCGACATCTCTTTCAGGATTTCTTAATCAAAGCCCTCACTACTTTTCAACCCTCTTCTTCTTTTTCAAAAAAGAGAGATTCTCGTCAAAAACCCAGCTGGCACATTACGACACTTCTGTATAATCTCCCTAGCTCCGAGCCTCCAACACGTTAACTCCAAACCCTTGAAATTTACCCCTATAAATTCACCACCTTTGTCTTTCGCTTTGTGTCACCAAAAACCCACTTCTTCTTTTCGCTTCCGACGATGGCCTCGTTCAAGCTCTTCGCGGTGTGGTCGCTGTCCGTCTGCTTGTGCCTCTGCCCTTTCTCGGCGTCGGCTCAGCTGAAGCAGAACTACTACGCCAATGTCTGCCCGAACGTCGAGACCATCGTGCGCAATGCCGTTCGACTGAAGTTCCAGCAGACCTTCGTCACCATCCCCGGCACTCTTCGTCTCTTTTTCCATGATTGCTTCGTCCAGGTATTCCGATACCCCCATGATTGAATTTGAAGACCCATTTGGGTCATTTTTTCGTTCGGGATTGACCAATCAGCAATCTTCTTTCTTTTGCTTTTTGTGTTTTGGCATTTTCTTTGGATGAGTAGGGCTGTGATGCTTCGGTGATAGTGGCGTCCACTCCTAACAACAAGGCGGAGAAGGATCACCCGGACAACTTGTCGCTGGCCGGAGACGGGTTCGACACCGTGATCAAGGCGAAAGCGGCTGTCGACGCGGTCCCGAGCTGCCGGAACAAGGTCTCGTGCGCCGACATCCTCACCATGGCCACCCGAGACGTCATCGCGCTGGTTGGTGTCCTAATTTCTCACGTTTAAATAGCTTTCAAGTCATCGCGATGCCGACAATTGTGCCGCAAATGTCAATCTTGGTGTTATGCCTGAAAATGAACCGGCGAATTGGTATAAATTGCAGTCAGGAGGGCCGTCGTATGCAGTGGAATTGGGGAGATTGGACGGGCTGGTTTCAACGGCGGCGAATGTCAATGGGAGGCTCCCTCAGCCGACCTTCGACCTTAACCAGCTCAATGCCTTGTTTGCTTCCCATGGCCTCTCCCAAACTGACATGATCGCACTCTCATGTAAGTGTATACAACATGGTCAACTATTCAACAAATTAACACGGATTGTTCCTAGTAATTATCTAAATATGCTCATCAAACTACAGCGCCTTAGGGTGATACAACTTCAACATGTAACCGAGCGTTAGCTTGATAGATTCTCTTTAGAGTAGGTATTACAACATGGGCCGTAAATTAATTTAATCGATATCACCATAGGATCGTGAATTTACCGAGTTTTTTACACTGACTAAGCAAGCTATAAGACATGAGGGCCGGTGAGGTTGCTCCAATTAGAAACGACACATCGCTAGCAAACCATTAGAAGCATCTGCAACCAGAACGTGGACAGGGTCAATTATATAATGAGATTTGGTGAGTTTGATGCATGTCATCTTGCTGTCAATTAATAATGTTGTGCACATTATTATTATTAGAATCTATCGTTGTAATATGATAAGGTGTCCTCATCTTTTTGCCCCATTATACATGGTCCTTTCCCCTTGCTCTTTTGCAGCTGCCCACACGGTCGGATTCTCCCACTGCGGCAAATTCTCAAACCGGATATACAACTTCAGCCGCCAGAACCCGGTCGACCCCACCCTGAACCGGAACTACGCTACCCAGCTCCAGGGCATGTGCCCCCGGAACGTCGACCCGAGGATAGCCATCAACATGGACCCGATCACCCCCCGGACCTTCGACAACGTGTACTTCAAGAACCTCCAGAACGGGATGGGACTTTTCACCTCGGACCAAGTCCTCTTCACCGACCCGCGGTCGAGGCCCACCGTGAACGCGTGGGCCAGTAGCACCCCGGCCTTCCAGAGCGCCTTCGTCACCGCCATGACCAAGCTGGGCCGGGTCGGGGTCAAGACCGGGAGGAATGGCAACATCCGCCGCGACTGCTCCGTGTTCAATTGATGATTCCGATCTATTGAAGAAGACAATAATGAATATGATGAGACACATTCTTATTTTTGGTTTTGCTTAGTTAGCGAGGAAAGAAAAGTTTAAAAAACAATAAATTTGGGTTTCAATGTAAGTGCGGAGATGGTTGAATGCACTTATGCGTTGGAATGACGAATTCAACTGAGAATAATGTGGTTCCATTGCTTTGTTATGACTTTTTTTTATCCAATTGGAATGCTGATAATGCTACGACGTGATTCTTTTTGTAAATGTAATTTTTAATTTCAAGTTTTTTTTTTCTTTTTTGCATTTTTGGTTAATGATTAGTGATTGACCACCTTACCTCACCTTTTTATTCTCAAATACATTATTGGAGTGTGGCTGGATAATGGACGGGCTTATCCTGATTATCGGGTCCTTGTCAAGTTGTCATTAACAGCTGGATTCCTTATCGATCCGTACAATATCTATTTTGCTAGGGGGTCATTATTTTAATTCCCACTGGCAAATACGTGCATCACGTTTGCGTGTGTTCGAGAAAATGATGTTTGTAAGATTAGCAAAATCGTTTATTATGTAACATTTGAATAATTAATACGGAAAGCAATTATCAGTTAAAATTGCACTGTTCAAAGGAATCGTGTATATGGAAAAATAAAGTATCTCAAAATTTGATTTTTTCTAGGAAGAGTGTTATAATAGAGAATAGATTGAGATTTTTACATGGAAACATGTAAGAGATGAAAACATGGAAATTAGGCCATTTGAAAACTGGGACTTGACGGTTCAGATGAGTTTTTTCTCCAATCTTTCCACACTTTAGTACATGCACTCCCCTTTTGCTAGCTTAAGTATCGGATGGCCAATCCAGGTCAAACACCCGGATGCCCTAACCCGTATTCGCTCGCGTGGATCCATCTCGAGATGGGAGTTTCGACGGATTTCTCAAGATCAAATAGTGCATCAATACAGTGGTGCCATACGCACACACGAATAAGCTGTGTGCGTTCTCCCCCTGAATGATCTAAGGAAATCACCGTACACCCAAATACCACCTTAGCCCCTTGAAATGTATGACCAATCTAATCACCCTGATTCTTCTCAACCCACAGATATTGGATCATATACCCACGAGCAAGCGTACCCCTAGCCCACATCTCTATGATCCTTTCAATTATGAACATTATGTCCTGTCTAAGTATGCTCCCATGGCCAATTCCATACATTGGAAAGCAAGCTAGGCCAACTTCTTGAGCCACGGCAAGGAGGACCGCGAGGGCCAAACCGCACGAGAACACTTCCTAGGGCTGTCTCGACTAAGGACCGATGAGCTCGGGAGGCGAGTCTAGTGTTAGATGCTAGAGATGCTTAGGATATTTTTTATAGAGATCTTTAGGATATTTTTTTAAATATTTTTTGCGATCGTGCATATGTTTGGGATATTCTTCACATCTCCAATTGTGCATATCCTTGATTGATCACACTTGATTTGATTACATCTAATAAAGTCTATAAATAGGCTCATGTACTACTCTTCATTCGAATAACATCGAAATATACTAGATTTCCTTTCCGCATATTATTTCTTATCTTGGTATTAGAGCTAGTCGATCCTGAAATGCACACCCGAGTGCACACGTGGAGCTAATCTCGCACCTGTCATTTTTTTCATTAAGTCCTAATATTCTCTGGTCAACGACGATTTCAACTTTGTTCGTCTCATCCAATAGCCAAAGTCGGCCTGTTATGTTGTAGCATAGTCTGCAAACAATGCGATCGAGTCCGTTTCATAACAACGCCAGCCATCGATTTATGAACAAACCAATGGCGATTTTTGAAGAAACCGGTGGTGATTTTTGGTTGAAGAGTTAATTGGAGCAGACTCGGGACTAAAGTGAAGTTTGTGATTTTTTTTTACGAAGAAAGTTCGGGATAAAATTGGGATGGGACCTTAAGTTTGGAATTTTTTAGGGAATTAAGCTTGTTTCTAATGCATATCTCTCAATCGATTTCAGAAGACAGAGAATTCTCTTGTAGCCAGTGAACAACAGCCTACAGACCCCATAAAAAGAAGACACTACACTTTGGAATATAAAGCATCCTCACCGCTTAGTAAGATCTACGTAAAGCCAATCGACCGAATTTAGCTGAGGACGTTTTACTCCGGAAAAAGAGCTAGTAAAGTCCATCAATAATAGCAGAAGCGGGATGATGTAGAGAGGACAAGAGGAGTGGGAAAGCACAATGAACACGAATGGCAAGTGACAGATAAGGAGTGTCGAGTGGTTAAGAATTTGTCGTTGAGATTTTCTCGATGATTTGATCCGCCAATAATATCCTAGTTGAAGATGGTGAAGTCTAGGTGAACTGTAGGCGTTCATGAGTCTCAAAAAGTGTGGAAGTGATGAACTAACGAAGCCTAGAAGTGCTAAAATCCAGATGTTGAAAAGTCCGTAAATGAATTGAATTGGACTGGTTGATGTACAGGATCGTGTCATGTAGCAACCATTGTGTACGAAAATTAGTGGTTGATAAGATGCGGCGATGGAAGGTTGTGGCATGTCATGACAACATGAGTTAATGACGAGTTGCCACTTGTTAGGAGGACACAAGTCGACACCAAGCTCACTAAATAATATAGTAGGCTAAGTTATCTCACTCCGAGTCGTTTTCCGAGTCTGTCAATCCAAAAACTATGAGACATCCCAACTGGACGATGATAACTTATAATTTTGTTGCCAATTATAAGTTGTTCGTGAAGCCAACCAGCAAAAATCCTTAAGAAAGTACACTTGCAAGTTGATCGAGAAAATTATAAGAAGAAATAATATATTTGTTTGCAATAAATGTCGAATGATCAAATTATACATCTGCAGCTAACCTTTTAGCAAGATCGGGTTTGGTCGATGAACTAATTTTGTCACATTTTGATATGGACACAGATTGATCATCAATATATAGGTTGTGGAACTTCTTTTCAAAAAAGATTCATCTACCTCTATTACCGTTGACGTAGCTAGTTATAATTTGAGAAATACATCAACAAGTCAAATCAATGGGTAATTATATCTGGTTATTGTAAAAAAAGAAAGAGAGGGTACATTACACGTCCACCATAAACGAATCCTGAATAAAATTATGTATGTAGATGAGTAGCAAAGAGATGTAATGTACCCTCTTTTTCTTTAGTGTGAAGCATGTCCCTTTGTTCTGCTTTTGACTTTTCTTGCAGGACAACACATTTAAAGAACCATAATCAATAATATTCCAATAATAGAAACTTTATAGAAATGAATAACAACACTCTTTAATAATTATATAAGTCATTCTTCGAGGTCATGATATCCAACATGGATCTCTTAGCTACCCATCTACATACATAATTTTCGGCTAACGGGTCTTGAATAAATATAAATATTAAAGAGACGCATGTTGGGCATCATGACCTCGAAGAATAACTTATATCAATATTAAAGTGGGTCGTTATTCATTTCCATAAGTTTCTACTATTGGAATATCATTGATTACATGTTCTGCAAAAAGTCAAAAGCGGAAAAAAGGGGACATGCTTCGCACTATTGTTTTATATAATAAGCTCTGGTTGTTCGAAATTTGAAGTCAAACACGATTCTACAGAACTTGAATAAATCAATTGCGAGTTATTGCATAGTTTTGCTTAAACATTATTTCTGCTTCATGGCATACCACAATCCGATTGCAGTAATCTACGAATTGAATGGGAAGTGGGCATGCCACCATCTCTGAACGTTGGACGATGCGTGGCTAGGTGGGTACGCAGTCTCTGCCCACTCGTCTACAAAGGGGGTGGGGTCTTGACTCGTATTATATAACTCTAGTTAAGATCTCTTTATCGGACTTTTCTCACCATCCTACCGCCATTGTAGAATGCCTAGAGGCCACCCCGTTGCATGTGAACTAGGGAGTGTGGTGGTCAGATTTGGATCTTATGTTCCCGATGCCCGCTCGCCTTGCCTCCTTAAATTCTTCCTGTATCTTTGACTTTCATAGGGTATTCTTTGTTTTTCATAGGAAGAATGAATACCCTCTAAAAATTTTACATCTGAGTAATCCCGAGTTAATGGAGCTTTGAAGGACCTGCTCAGGTCCTGGATCTGGATCTTTTGATCCCTTTTTTCCGTTTCTTGTCCTAGAAAGAATCATAAGAATGAGGTTGACTCCGGTTCATATAATTATTGGGGATAACATGGTGGGTAATCCTCGAACTTTTGAGTGCGTTTGTTTGAGAGAAAGTATTTTGCTTGAATTCATTTTCCAAACTTTTCACCCGTTTGGTTCGTCGAAAATACTTTCCGATCAAGGAAAATATTCATTTATAAAATTATGAAAGTAAATTCTCTAATCTAATAAGGTAAAAACACTTTTCGGAAATTGCTTCTCTTAAATTTTTTAGTACTTTATATTTTCTTTTCTTTTCTTTCTTTTTTTTTCTTTTCTTTTTTCTTTTTCTTTTCTTTCTTTTCATTTTTCCTTCTTCTTCCCTTTGCCGGTCGCCAGCCGACCTCAGGCGAGGCCGAGCTCGCTAGCCTCGTTGCGGCAAGGTCAAGCTCACCTAAGGCCGGAGAGGCTCGACCTCGCCATGTTCGGCGAGCTCACGCCTCGACTTCACCGCCTCGCGACTTGGCCTTCAAGCTCGCACCTCGACCTCACTCGACGCTGGCGAGGTCGAGGCTCGGCCAAACTCCTTGGAGGCTGACAAGCTTGCGGCTCGCCAGCTCTAGGCGAGCTGGAGTTCGCCAGCCCCGAGCTCGCCTGTGGCCTTCATCGGGTGAGCCTCGAGCTTACTTGTGGCCATCGCCGACCGGTCATGGCAGAGGAAGGAGGAAAAAGAAAAAGGAAATTAAAAAATAATTAGAAATTCGATTTTTTTTAAAAAGAGAAATTTAAAAAATTAAAATTTCGAATTTTTAAAATAATAAAAAAATAATGAAAAAATTTGATTTTTTTTCTTGAAATAAAGTCATGTGATTGAAATAATTTTCCAAAAAAATCCAAACATCAGAAAATGATTTCGATCATGTATCACCAAACAATGGAAAACTAATTATATTCCTGAAAAATGCTTTTTCTTATCATTGAGTTTTCTACGAAATAAACCCATCATTTGTTAGGGATTCAACATAGTCCTTAAACTTTTTTTTGGTTGAATTTAATTTCGGAGCATTTTAAATCGAGTTCAACGCCATTCTTCTTTTAAGTTGGCTAATGAAAATTGCTGATGGGGTGATGGG